GCGACTGAATGGAAAGAAGTCAAAAAAAGATCCATCGGAAAGACGAGCTCACATGGCCTGCTCACATACTGACATGTTCGCCATATGTCTTATCACATGTCTTAGCATTAAACGGTACCAGTTTACTGGCCGTGACATGCCCCTGCAAAAATCAAGCGGGGTGGCCATTTTGGTGTCCTTACAGGAATGTGGTTTTTTCCAGCCTAGAACAGTGCACAGGGAGACCAACTCTGAAAAGCCACAGGTCAAAATTAGGTTTGCGTTCCACTTCGTTGAATGCAATAGCACGCAAAGATAATCACCCGTCAGAATTGGCAAATTTTCTGTTGAATACAATTTTCAATTTACTCGGTCCCACCCCAATGTTTTGTACTTACACAGAAAACTCAGTCATTACTGACGGCAAAATAGCCTTTTATTTTCTGCTTAAAGCTAAAAATCAACTGATACATAAAAAATATTTTATCTGCTTAAAGCTAAAAATGAACTGGCACATAAAATTATTAAATACCTATACTTTACGGGTACCTAAGGTACAAAATTTTTATAAAAATGTCGTAAACTACTTGGAGTAAACTTTTAATTATTTTTGTGACTCTACTTTTGACTTACACGGAGAGCATCAGCTGTGTACTAAGTGCATATAATAAAAATAATATAACAAATACGCTATTAAAAAACAATTCGTTATAGAATGTAAAAGCTGTGAACAAAAAAACTCTGACAGTTAAAATAATATTTGTACAAACTTTTGTTGATCTACATTTTATTATTATTGTAACTGGGGATTTTCCATCGCAGTTTGGAAAAGGCACCTCTAACAAACAGACCATTAGTCTCCGATGGTTTTCCTCTGAAGACACTCAACAATGGTTTCAATTTGACCTAATGCCCATTTCACCAAAGTAAGGAGAAATAAAGGGCTAAACCTAGAGCTCATCTAAAATATGAAACGAATAGAAGCAATGCTCTCCCCCCACTTACCAAATGGGATACTGGCCCATTACAGGCTAGCCCCACCCCACCCCTATAATTTTTTCCAGGTTGCCCTGACACATTGCCAGAACCTGTTTACACTTCTGGGTGGAGAGAGACACTGCGGTCAGCAGGCTGAACCAGACGGCTTGATACAGAGGCTATTGTACTAACGATTTCACACATCAAGTCTGACACGAAAGATCATGATACATGTAACTGAGTACTGATCATGTGTTGTCACATTTCTTTCAAAAATCGATTTTCCATTTCTTTAAAAAATGTATAACATGTTAAACTGCCCTCACATGAAACACTTTTCTAGGGGATCTGAGATTCTAGACTAAGATGCTTATAACTGGAAATGTTTTGGAGCAAAAATTCTTGCTGCTGCCTTTTGAGGCTAGCTATGTTTAAAAGGGAATTTTGGGGCATTGTATGATCTTAGACAGGGCTACTGGTTTCAAAAATATTGCCAAACTAGAAGGGTAGTGCGTGGTTGCTAAACTGTGTTTATTTAAAACACCCTATCCCCTTTTGCACACATATCAAAATGTCATAAAATTTGGAAACAAAAAATAACCAATTTGGCTTTAACGCAAATATCATAACACACATGTAAATGTCTGCTCAGCAGGTACAACATGACAAGCCAACCACATGTATGGCATAGCAATTTAACTACTCTGAATTCGAATATGTACTAGCTGTACAACTTTATACCTTATCTCAAATTCTCTATTAACAATTTGTCGTATAGTTAACAAACCTAAATGTACTATTTTAAAAAAAAGGCAATGCCCCCTTTACAAGTTCATGGGGTTAAAATATAAAACCCAACATTTACGAAAATATAATGATAGTAAAATTCATGTAATAATCACTTCGTACACAACAAACTGGACAATTTACAGCACTGACAGAAATACTGCACAAGAGCTTTTATAACATATGTGATTATTACATTTGCAGCTTCACAACCACCATTTTACTTCTTTGTGTTAAAATCAGTCAATTTTTACACAACAATATTTTTGAGCCAAATCTCTGTAATTAACCTTATCATTATCCAAGGCCTCAAACAAAACCTGATAAGTTGCTGCAGTTCCTTCTTTATGTGTCCAATGCAAGAGCATCTGGTATGCCTTTTCAAACAGATCATCATGTGCTTTATCAATGGCAGTAATCTTTGGATCCTCAATTCTAAGTCGACGAGCAAGTTTCTTCCAAGAATCATCTTCCAATTTACTTGCTATATCGTCTAACTCATCCTTACTGGGTTGGCCCGTTTTGACTGAAACAACAAAGATGACAGGGAGGAATGAAACAATGTTTTTAATGCACTGCTGACCATATTTTTCTACAATGATCAACTACATGTACTATTGCTATAACTATTTTTATGAGTTTTAATTACACTTATCATGTGCAAATCTATGGCTTTAAAAATTGGGAACTTCATATACCTGTATATATCAAACACGAAGGGCTGTGTTTGATTCCATTTGCAAACATCAAGAAGAGAGTTGAAAATACGACACGCAACGGAGTATTATTGACGAACTTCGAGACGAAGTCTGTGTTCGCCACATTTTCCAAACTGAAAATACGACGCGCATCAGAGTATTTTTGACAAACTTTGAGGTGTTTGGAAATGTGGTCAAACACTTTCTTAAGAGAAAACAGAGAGATGAAATTGTAAAAATTTTTATTAAGATCAGATATCCAAAAAGTGTCACGGTGATGATTTCCTTTGTTTAAACTTGATGAATTATTAATTAGTTTGAGAAGTGTTATTAAATCAGCGAGAGGAAGGCGGCACAAAATTGAAATTGACTGGTACCCAATATGACAGCATAATTTAGACCCGGAATAATTTTTTTCAATTTGAAAGTACAGTAAAAAAATTACTTTTCCATCACACACTTGTTTGAATTTGTTTCTCACTAGTATTCACAAATTTTAAGGTAGAGAAAGGAAGGTTAGTTCAACAGAGAATTTTGTGAGTTTCATTAAAGAGTTTTACAAGTTTCTGTTCTATTTGCAATATTTTACTGATTATATTGATTGTCTACAACAATCAGGGTAGATTATTAATTGTATAATTATTAGTGCAGCAGTGATAATTATCCTCTAACACTTATTTAAACAAAGTGATTCCATTTCTGGTAACAATCAAGTTACTCATGAATGTAAATTACGAGGACTGCAGAACTGTTGAAGCCTAGTTACTAACTGTAAACCAGGTGACTACAGGACTGCAAGAGCAGACTACTAAAATTGTGCTACAGTACAGTACATGTAGAAGTTGAAAGTGAGCAGGGTATTCTGAAATCAGTCTAGCTGTTATTCCAGAAGGATTAAGTGGGGAGAAAAAAGATTTTAAAGTAGTTTCCACGGCCCTAAAAAAAAATTCTAAAATTCCAGAAGTGTTCCATAATTTTCAGGATTAGTGTGAACTCTGGGATTTCAGTTACAAAGTACAACACACAGCATTTACAAGTTAAAATCAGTTATGTATTTTCCAATTCTCCATGAATCCATTCTGTTCCCCCTCCCATTTTTGTGCAAACTGTTGTTCTGAAATGCTCTTGGGAATATGCAGACCTCCCAAAAGCATTTCACAACAATAGTTTGCACAAAAATGGACAGGAAGGGAGGGGGGAGGGGGGGCAAACAGAGTGTCAATTATGTGGAATTGGAAAATAGAGAATAGCAGTCACCTTGGGCCTTTTTCTCCTCTTTGACTGCTTCAGGTGGTTCTGTTGTTGTGGAGTAAAAAAAAACAGAATGATCAACAAACATCACAACAACTGGATAAAATATTTTCTTTCATAAAACATCAGTAGGTACAGTGGCATTTTTTTAGCAATAAAAAATTCAGATTATCCAAAAGGAAACAGTGCCCTTCCCATACAACTGCTTTACAAAACAAATCTTTAAATAACTCTTGAAAGGATTATACAAAGATATAACTTACACATATGCTAAAAACATGCTCTATTTTGTTAAGCATGCTCATTTTCACTTACACCATATGTTGACTTGGTCTGCCTGTGTACAAAATGCTAACAAGCCTCGTTTTATTGTTTGTACCATCAGGGTTCCAGTGTTTATCTTGATAGTTTGAATTTGGCTCGCAGCAGGGACAGTGGGTTTAAACTTAAAAATGAACAGTATGGAGTGTGTTCACATGACGTCATCAAATTCTCAAATCCAAACCTAAAGAGCCTCTAAAGGTTTTATCGTCATCAGGCATAAGAGGTACTAAATTTGTATCTGTTTACAACTTTCCAGCTCAATAATGTCCTTCGTTTGGAAACTAGCGCACTTGAATTTCGGAGTCATGGCGGTGCGTGACATGAAGCTAAGATGGCGTTTGTTGAAAAATATACACTTATCTCATGATTTTTAGCCTTTTAGGAGTTACAGTAATAGGAAAAGTGCTTGTGGAGGACTAAGGAGGTCCTCCAATATGGCGGCTCCATGGGTAACCCGGAAACACTGAGCCCTGGTCTGCGGACCCCCACTACGGACCGGGTCAGTGGACTTCCTATGGACTGGTCCATGGACTACCCCTATGGACCCCGTCTACGGACCATCCCCAAATTAGAATGAAAAAAAAGAAATACATATTTCAGTTATCGGTTGTCTAATAGATCGTGTCGGCGAAATTTCAAACGTTACATTTTACAAATGTAACATTCTTGGGGTTCAAGCTCTGGTGCAAGTTGTATCATGACACATTGCCATTTCCTTTGCTGTGGTCATACTGTATATGAAAGACAGTGAAAGCCTCCAGGAAGCCTCCAGGAAGCCTCCGGGAAGCCTTGGAATTTGTGCTCTTTCCCCTCCACCATTTTGTTCAGCCCATTCTCACGTGGATTTGTGAACTCGTTCCAGGCTTCAAAATTTACTCAGCGCAATTACAGATGCAAACAAGCTTGAACAACCTAAAAACACGTTTTCCGTAGCCAGATTGAGCCACGAATGCAAGGTAACAATTTTCCTTCTTTTTGACATCGGCATCACCTTACCCTGAAAAAAGCTTATAGGCTTTTTTTGGAAGGGGAGGGGGGTGTGTTAATTACATTTGGACAGTGTAATACTCAAAAATTTGCTGACATGAGTAATCTATTAGACAATCCATAAATGAAGTATTTATTTCTAATTTTTATTATATTTTGTGGGGTGGTCCGTACAGGGGGTTTGTAGGGGTAGTCTGTGGACCGGTCCATAGGAAGTCCGCGGACCCAGTCCGTAGTGGGGGTCTGCGGACCGGGGTCAGTGTTTTCGGGTTACCCACAGCTCCATACTAGGCTCTATAATTTTGCGCGGAACATTTAAACGAATATCTCAACTTTGGGACAATGCACACACCTTAAACTTGGAGAACTGTCTTCTTTATTTATCATCTATAATATCACAATTTCTTGATTTTATCCACTGAATGGTTTTTGATTTTATTTTTCATTGTGTGACAATGCACACACTCTATTGTTTAAGTAGTAACTAACAGTTACCCTCAGCCTTTTTCTCCTCTTCGAGTGCTTTAGCTCGTGTTCTCTTGGTACCTGTTTTGTGAGAAATACTTGGAGTCAATACAAACAATTCACAGTTACTACACACAGTAACTCATAATGGGATACATGAGTAATTATACAGTTGAATGCTTTAGAATTTAAATGATCAGAGTATTTTCTCTTGTTACCAGCATTAGTGCATAAAGAAAAAAACCTGTGTGTTAGGAACCAGTGGATTAAGAAACTGCTGGCAGAAGTTTTATTTTTCAAAACATAAAAATGTAAGAACCTGTTTAGTCAAGCAAGATCAAGCAGGTTCTAATAACTGTGGGTTATGTTTAAATTATGATAAACATTTCAACCAAGTGTGACTTTGAAAATGCAAATTTATGTTACAAGAAATTATACACATTTTATAGTTGTGAATAAATTAAACACTCTATTAATCCATAAGGACCCAACCCAAGTTTATTTATTTTCCTGGTAATCAAGAACTATACAAGTTATCTCCTTCATAGAAATTAAGAACCTATTACATGTAAATTGTCATTAACTACCCCAAAATACAAGTTCTTACATGCAGGTTTTCACTGTATTTGTATTTAACTCTTATTGAGTTTGTACACAGCATTGCATGGCATTAATGCCTAAAAAGAGCTTTGTATGTGAACATGGCCACTCTTAAAACAAACAGTTGATCAGTCACCTTTCTTCATCTGCTGCTTGCTCTCTGTAGTCCGAGTCTTTCCCTTATTGCTACGAGTTTTCAGAGACTTAGCTGCAGGACTCATTTCAACACCTATACAAAGAACCACAAATATTTAAAAGACAACAAATGCATGTAATTTCAATAACTGAGGTCAGTGAAAATTAACATTACCAATTAAAGGACCTGTTCTGTGCCAAACAAGAGTTTTGAACATAGATCTTATTCTGTTCCTGACCTTTAACAGTTAAATGCACTGTACAAGTAAATACCCTAAATTGAAGTTCTAAGCTTTTAATATTATGTGGCTTCTCTTGTTGTAGTTACAGTGTGAATACTTGAGCCAGGCCAATTTTGGAACAAATTAAAGTTAACCAATCAAAACATAATTGGGCAATGAAATTGAGAACATCAAGCCTAAGGATGGTGACTTTTTCCATAAACAAACCAATAAAGTTTAAGCATACAAACAATAGTTCCAGGCTGACAATAACACTATGATCCATCTGGTGACTCCCCCCTGATGACTAAAAATGGTTCAGGGTTTAAAGAGCAACATTTCGCAGACCTCTCAGAAAACTCTGTCATTAGTTTTGACTGATCACAGTATGGGCCAACTTTAGAAATGACAGCATTACATGCATATTACTTGCAAATACAAGCAAATGTGTGGCTAGATTACATGCAGTAGATTTTATGTTTCGTCAAAAATTACATGCAGTCGTTCCACTGGAAATCATTGAGTGTGTGTAATGAGAACAACACATTTACTTTGTAGCATTTATTTGCCAGACTTTAAGATGACACCGTTTAGTCGTTTTCGTTCTTGCTTTCTGTTGTGAAACCTTTCTGAAAGAATTGACCAGTTCCTGAACTCGGCTTACCAATGTACAATGAAAAGGAAACAGTGCCCTTCCCATACAACAGCTTTATAAAACAAATCTAGTTTAAATACTTCTTGAAAGGGTCATGCAATGGTGTATCCTAAAAAACTTGCTCTATTTTGTTAACTCTTACTGATCAAGCTTGCACACAGTAAGGCAAAAATATACAAAGAGCTTAATTGTATCTGAACATGGCCATTCTTAAAAGAAGCAATCAATCACAGTCACCTTTGTTTTTCTCCTTGCTGACAGTTTTTGGAGCCTTCGATGCAGGACCCATTTCAACACCTATAAAAATCCCCACAAATATTTAAAATACAACAAATAATTTCAATAACCAGGTCAGTGAAAATTAATATTACCACTTAAAGGACCTGTTTTGCACCAAACATGATTTTTTGACCTACATGTAGACCTTATTCTATTCAACCTTTAAC